GACGCTCTATCCACTGAGCCAAACCGGTTAGGGCTTCTTCCTCTTCTTAAAGGATACCTTTCAGCATTTCATATAATACTGATTTGGTGGTGATGAACTCCTTTAGCTTTTTCTTATCTGTGAAGCTCTTTATCTGACCTTTAATTCTGAATGATAGCTTTGCTGGATAAAGTAATCTTGGTTGTAGGTTCTTGGCATTCATCACTTTGAATATTTCTTGCCACTCCCTTCTGGCCTGCATGGTTTCTGTTGAGAAATCAGCTGACAGTCGTATGGGTATTCCCTTGTAGGTAACTGACTTTCTTTCTCTTGCTGCTTTTAAGATTCTCTCTTTGTCTTTTGCTCTTGGCATTTTAATTATGATGTGTCTTGGTGTGGTCCTCTTTGGATTCCTTTTGTTTGGGGTTCTCTGCGCTTCCTGGACTTGTAAGTCTATTTCTTTCACCAGGTAGGGGAAGTTTTCTGTCATTATTTCTTCAAATAGGTTTTCAATATCTTGCTCTCTCTCTTCTTCTGGCACCCCTATAATTCTGATGTTGGTACGCTTGAAGCTGTCCCAGAGGCTCCTTACACTATCTTCATATTTTTGGATTCTTTTTTCATTTTGCTTTTCTGGTTGGGTGTTTTTTGCTTCTTCGCATTTCAAATCATTGACTTGATTCTTGCGATCCTCTAGTCTGCTGTTGGAACTCTGTATAATATTCTTTATTTCAGTCAGTGTATGCTTAATTTCTAGTTGGTCCTTTTTCATATCCTCAAGGGTCTCACTAGATTTATTGAGGGTCTCACTAAATTTATCACCGGTTTCTAGAAAATTCTTGAAAAACCTTATAAGTGTGGTTTTGAACTCTATATCCAGTAGTTTGCTTTCCTCCATTTCTGTCATTTGTGACTTGTTTCTTTGTCTCCGCATTTTTTATGCTTTCCTGTGTTGATAGAGTGGCTTTCTGTGCTAGGTGTCCTATAGGGCCCAGTGGCTCAGCCTCCCCAATTACCTGAGGTGGACACTCTTGGTGCACCCCTTTGTGGGCTTTGTGCACAGTCTTGTTGTAGTTAAGCCTTGATTGTTGTAGGATCACTGGGAGAAATTGACCTCCAGTCCAATTGGCTGTGAGAATCAGCTGTATCTACAGTGGGAGAACTTATGTGCTGGAGACACCCTTCTGGGGCAAGACCTGCTTCAGTGAGGCTTTGGTGCTCACTGAGTCTGCCCCCTGAGTGTGTCCCTTATGGATCTGAGGAGTTGTAATCTGGATGGTCCCAATCTGACCACTGGGTACACAGGCTCTTGGATCTCTAAGGAGGTGCTAATTTAGCCTCGGCCTGAGGCTACCCAGCAGGAGCTATGGAGAGATCTGCAGATTCCTCTTCTTTGTTTGGGGTTTGGAGGTGCCTAGATGAGGCCCAGCTATGAAGCAATGCAAGCTGCTGTGGGGCCTTGGGCCTTCTTTTGGAAGTTCTGGGTCTGTTTGGCCCAGCTGCAATTTGTTAGGTAATTTTCAGATTGCAAAGGGCCAGGGCATTCATACGCAAAAGCCTCTGTGCACAGCTTGGGTGGGGTGGGGTCTCAGGGAATCAACAGGGTGGAGCAAAAAGCTATGGCTGCACCTCAGCCCTACCCTAAGAGGCCCCGCATCTCAGTGTCCCGGTAATCACTGCAAGCACCTCTGAGAGAAAGCCGCCCTCGAGTTCTGCCTGCTGCCAGACAGTCCAGTTTCTCCCCGTATGAGTCCTGGGTCCCCAGAGACTCGCCCGGAACTGGAGTTCAGAGCAGTCGGGAGCTTGAGACTCCCTCACGATTGAAAAAGACAGAGCAGGTGGGTGAAAGCTGGGACCAGGCTTGAAGACTCAGATTCCAATTCAGACTCAGCTGTCTCCAGGCTGCGGCCTTGAACCAGCGGCTTTACCTCTCTCGACCTCTGCTTCTTCCAATGTAAGAAGACAAGAAGGTCTTCCCCTCAGGTCCTGAGTTATCAGATAAAACATAGTTGGGAAGACTGGAATCAAACACAGCAAAAAATAACAATCTTAAAAAAAAAGAAAAGAAAATAAGAAGTGTTGGGCCCTAGCCGGTTTGGCTCAATGGATAGAGCGTCGGCCCACAGACTGAAGGGTCCCAGGTTCGATTCCAGTCAAGGGCACCTACCTTGATTGCAGGCTTTATCCCCGGCTCTGGCCAGGGTGCGGGCAGAAGGCAACCAATCAATGTTTCTCTCTCTCTGTCTCTCCCCCTCCCTTCCACTCTCTCTAAAAATCAATGGCGGGAACTGGGAGGAGGGGAGTTATGGGAGGAAAAAAGAGGAACAAATGTAATAATCTGAACAATAAAGATTTAATTAAAAAAAAAAAATCAATGGGAAAATATCCTCGGGCATGTGCCCCTGACCGGAATCGAACCCAGGACCCTTCAGTCCACAGGCCCGACGCTCTATCCATTGAGCCAAACCGGCTAGGGCTTAAAAAATATTTTTATTGATTTCAGAGAGGAAGGGAGAGGGAGAGAGAGATAGAAACATCAATGAGAATCATTGATCAGCTGCCTCTTACACGTCCCATACTGGAAATAGAGCCCGCAACTCGGGCATGTGCCCTTGACCAGAATAGAACCAGGAACCCTTCAATCGGCAGGCCAACGCTCTAGTCACTGAGCCAAACCAGCTAGGACTATAAATATTTTTTGAATGGTTCAAGCTGTGTGCTCAGTGGTTGATCTTCGACCTATGAACCAAGAAGTCACGGTTCGATTCCCAGTCGACAGGAGGCAGCCGGTCTATGGTTCTCTCTCATCATTGATGTTTCTATCTCTCTCTCCCTCTCCCTTCCTTTCTGAAATTAATAAAAAATATTAAAAATATTTTTGAATGAATAAGAATAACATTAGGAATAATAATAAAAGCAGCTACATTTGCCTTACTCAGAGTTCAACCCATAGTTCCTGTCACTGAGTGAAAGAATTTACTAGTGAGTAAATATTTGAGTGAAAGAATAATTCATAGGTGAGGTAAACGCGCGCAGACCCCATCCTAAAGCCAGAATTGATGGCTGATCTGGACGCTGGGGGCATCAGTCCCCTCCAACAAACGGTGGCCCCAGGTGCTGGGGCTGTGATCACCTCCACTTTCCTGACGCCCCTGGACGTGGTGAAGATCCACCTGCAGTCTCAACTCCCTGCAGTGACCATCGAGCTGATGCCTCCCTTCAGACTCTGGAGCCTCTTACGCCAAATTGCCCTCCTCCCTCCAACCCACAGAGAAGTGCCTCCTGTACTGCAGTGGTGTCCTGGAACCCCGGGACCTGTGCCCAAATGGTGCCCGCTGTGCCACCTGCGTTCAGGACCCCACTCGCTTCACCTGGTGATGACTGTGCCAGCAACTGCCATCTACTTCAGGGCCTTCCTGTGTGGTCGAGCCCTGGCCTCTGACTTCTACGCACCCATGGTGGCTGGTGCACTGGCCTGGGCACCCTGACTGTGATAAGGCCCCTAGAGGCCGTAGGGACTAAGCTGCAGCCTCAGCCCGTGTCATACCAGGAGTTGGGTGCCTGAGTCCGAACCTCCGTAGCTCAGGGCGGCTGGCCTCACTGTGGCTGGGCTGGGGCCCCACTGCTCTTCCGGATGTGCCCTCTTCAGCCCTGCACTGGTTCGACTGTGAGCTGGTAAAGAGCTGGTGAGTGGGCGCAGGCCAAAGGACCAGACTTCGGTGGGCATCAGCTTTGTGGCTCTGCATCTCAGGGACGATGGCTGCCATCCTGACTCTACCCTTTGATGTGGCGAAGGCTCAAGGCCATGTTGCGCTGGGAGCGGTGGAGGCTGTGAGAGTGTCACCCGCCCACGTGCACGCTGACTCCACGTGGCTGTGGCTGCTGCTGCTGTGGCTGCTGCGGATCTGGGCTGAGTCCGGCACCAGGGGCCTCTTTGCAGGCTTCCTCCCAACGATCATCAAGGCCGCCCCCTCCTGTGCCATCATGATCAGCACAGGAGTTGGGCAAAAGCTTCTTTCAGAGGCTCAACCTGAAACAGCCTCTGAGCCTGAGAGGGGCGAGGGGATGAGGGCCGCATCTCTCCCATGGGTGGTGTGGGGCAGGAGACTGAGCCAAGTGCCTGTCCTCCGGGGAGGGGGCCCCAAGGGCCCAGCCCATCCCTGGGGCCTTCCCAGGCCCCCATCAGACAGCTTTCTTCCTGCTGGTCCTCATCCCAAGCGGCAAGGATCATCACTTTTCCACCCAACCCCCCAAGTTCAAGACCAAATCTGTTAACTCTCTCCTCCCCCTGCCCTCTCGCCCATTTTCCTGTGTTTGTTGTGGCTAGGCCTGCCCCCAAGGCTCACAGAACCCGGGACCTGGCCAGTCTGAACCCACAGCTGTTAATTCACTGAGTGTAAAGATGAAAAATAAAGAGAGAATAATTCATAAATATTTATTGTATAAACGAGGAAAAGAATTAATGATTTGGACGAATATTATTGAGCACCCAGTGCTGGGCACTGGAAATACAAACATGAACAGAACACAGTCCCTGCTGTATTGGGTCTGACATGCGTGTGGGAGAGACCGGACGGGCGGACGGATGGGCGGACGGATGGGCGGACGGCTGACCTGGGTCTCCACCCGGCCGCACTCCTGGGTGCGAAGGCAGGCGGGGTAGCAGTGCGGCCTAGAGTCCGGCCCCTTTCCTTCCCGCCGGGACTTCTTGTCCGCTGACAGCTCCGCTCACCTGGCGGCCTCCCCTTTAAGACGCGCTCACCTGGGCGCTCACCTGCGCCGGCGCTTCCGCAGGAAGAAGGAAGCGGCGCCGCCGTCGCCGTCGTCTCCGTCCTCCCTCCCGGCTCCCGGTCCGCCGGCCGCCACCATGTCCGCCTCGGCTGTCTTCATCCTCGACGTCAAGGGCAAGGTGAGGCTGGGCGTGGGGTGGGCGGGGGCGCACAGGTGGGTGGCAGCGCGGCCCAGGTGTCCCCGAGGGCGGGGGGCTCCCCTCCCCCCACTCGGGTCCCGGGTCCCGTTCCCGCCGGCACCGGCCGCGCGCTCGCCTCTCGGAGCCTCGGTCTCACGCTCCGTAACCATGGGAACGACAGGGGTCTCCACCCCAAACAATTAGCACAACCCGCAGCCGGGGGCGACCACTTGGCCCCGCAGCCCTGCTGCGAACACGCGGGGATCGACCCACTGGAATTGTTATTTCTGTCACCATCCGCACCCACAGTATGAATATTTGGGGAAGACAGCAGGGCCAGGGGGCCCTGATTCCCCTTTGGGGCTGCTTTGTCCCTTTCTGGGGCCCCCTCTTACTGTCCCGTCGTTCAGGAGCAATCATAAGAGCGGTGGGGAAGATAATGTTTCCGATAATGATAGTGAGAGCTCAGGTGTCTGAGGACCTGCCCCCAGCTCTGAGCGCTGGACAAAACAACCTTACCAAGTAGGTTCTGCTGTTATTGGTGGCTCCCTCCCTGCCAGTCAGAGCTAAGAGAGCTGTATGGGCACAATCATTTTTATTTTCTTTCTTTTTCTCTTTTAGGTATAATCTTTCTTTTTTATTTTACTTCTTGGCATGATCTTTCTTTTCTTCCTTCCGTCCCTCTTCTATAATCTCTCTTTTCTCCTCTTTCTATAATCTGTCCTTCCTCCCATCCTTCCCTTCTTACCGTTCGTCATCCCTACCTTGCCGATTTGGTGCATCTGAAGCCCTGGGCAAGACCAGGATTTCTGGAATGAGGGTACTTGGTCCAATTCCTGATTTCCCACTTATTATGAACACGGTTCCTACCTCAGTTTCCCCAGCTGTGAAATGGAGGTGACAATGACACGACCTTACAGGGTTGTGGTGAGAACTAAATCAGCAAGCAAACATCCACTCTTTTTTTTTTTTTTTTTCCTGAGAGCATACCTATTAAAGCTGGGACAATGAAAAAGGAAGGTTTAGGATAGAAGAAGCAACAGGAGAGAGCCTACTTTGGCACTTTATAGGAAAGAAATGAGCCTGGGCAGGGCTGCTATTGGCTCACTGAAAAGTCAGAGAAAAGAGGGCCTTGGCGACAGACAGGTCCTGCCTGGGAGGAGCTGCAGCTGCCCATTGCTCCCCCGGTTGCAAGTCTCCTGGGGGCCCTTAGGGTGTAGGCCAGTGATGGCGAACCTTTTGAGCTCGGCGTGTCAGCATTTTGAAGAACCCTAACATAACTCTGGTGCTGTGTCACATATAGAAATTGTTTGATATTTGCAACCTTAGTAAAACAAAGATTTATATTTTTGATATTTATTTTATATATTTAAATGCCATTTAACAAAGAAAAATCAACCAAAAAAATGAGTTCGCGTGTCACCTCTAACGCGTGTCATAGGTTCGCCAACACTGGTGTAGGAGATGCACACTTAAGAGTGAAGAAAGGTGTGGGTGTGCTCCTGGGAGGGGAGGGCCAAGCATCCAGGCTTTAGTAGAACTATGACCTGGACCTTAGTGAAGGGTCTAGACATGTTAGCTGTTTTATCACGTGCCCATTTTACAGAGGAGGAAACTGAGGTGCAGAGAGGTGCTCAGGCCCCTGGGCCAGGGAGTAGGGTCCGAACCAGGCACTCTAGGTAGAGTGCCCCTGGGTGGAGGGTCCCTGGATCCCAGTGATGACTGGGCCTTCTCTGCCCGCCCTTAGCCCCTGATCAGTCGAAACTACAAGGGCGATGTGGCCATGAGCGAGATAGAGCACTTTATGCCTCTGCTCATGCAGCGGGAGGAAGAGGGCGCTCTGACCCCACTGCTGAGCCACGGCCGGGTCCACTTCCTGTGGATCAAATACAGCAACCTCTACTGTATCCAGCCACAGGTGGGGTCCCTGGGGGGCTGGGGTGGTGGCAGCTCAGGCCCAGAGAGGGTAGGCTGAGGTTAGGAGTTGCACAGCACATCAGTGCAACTCTTGTCCTCAGCCTAGGGGTGTGTGCGTGGGCAGAAATGGGGTGCTGGTGGGGAACAGGGTGGGGGTTCAAGGTCTGTGCTCCATTGGAGCCCTTCGAAAACGGCACCTTTTCCTTAACCTCGCTGCCCGCAGTGGTGGCCACCACGCTGAAGAACGCCAATGCCTCGCTCGTGTACTCCTTCCTCTACAAGACGGTGGAGGTAGGTTGGGGCCTCCCACTGGTCAGCTGGCCTGTTGGTCCACCTGTCTTGCCCATCTCTTTCATGATCCATTTTCCTAAGAAGCTCTGCGTGACCTCCCTGGGGGTGCCCTAACAAAGTCCCATCACTTGTGTTGTCACTGGCTGCTATGGGATCATCTCTCCCTATAATAGGCAGGGACCGAGGGGTCTTCGAGAGAGTGTAACTGCTCAAATCTGAGCCAGAGTGAACTGGTTTCCAATCCTAGCTTTCCCTGCTTCCTGGCTATATGACCTTGAGCAAGTCTCTTCTCTCTGTGCCTCTAAACTGGGGGTTACAGCAAGTCCTACCTCGGGGTTGTACAAATTAATAAAATTCATACCTCTAAAGTGCCTAAAACGGTGCTCAGTATACACTAAGTGCTCAATAAAGGCTTGGTATTATTGTTAGCATTATCACAAATGTTATAAAATTATATAATTTAGTGAGCTCTTAATATATGCCATTCTCGGCTGGTCCGAGTGCAGTGGCGCCTACAATTAATATATGCCATTCTCAGTGACTGAGAAAGTGCTCAGTCATCACTATTCAACAAACAAGAAATATTCATGGATTTGTCTCCTCTCTGCCAGGCAAAGGAAAAACACCTATGCATTAGACAGGTCTCTGTCCTGAGGAGTTAAAGGGCGTAAAGGAGATTAAATCTGATTAAAATGCTAATCTCACCATAGCATCATGATACTCATGGAGGGGAGTGGTCCCCACTCACCCAGGTATACCCATGACTCCTTACCTTGAGAGGGTGACATTTGAGCTGAGGTCTGAAGGACAAGCAGCCCTCTGTGAGATGAGCTGAAGGAAGAGTGTTCCAAGCAGAGGGAATAGCATATGCAAAGGCCCTGGGGTAGGAATAGAAAGGCCAGTGAGGTTGGAGCAGAATGAGGAGTGGAGAATAGTTCAAATGTTGATGACTAACAGGTTCTCTTCTGTGGTTATGCCTACTAATTCCCAGGGCCTGTTAACTTGGGGACCCCAAACTTCCAAGGACTATGAATAGAATACAGAAAGTCCATGACCTCAGTCATGTTTCTGTATAACAGGTTTCCTTTGCCATCCTGTGTATTTTGTTTTATGTATTTATTCTGAGATGGGCTCATGACCATCAGATATGCAGGGATCCATAGTCAAAGAAAAAACAAACAAATAAAAAGATCAGTTCTAATTCTTCCTGGACCTCCCCACCTCTGGGTTCCTATTTTCCTTGAGTTTTCCACATTATTGTACCCAACACGTTGGATTATATTGGTTCTGTTACCAGTCCATTTCCCTCACTGGACTTCTCCCTGAGGGCAGGGACCCTGGGGGCTTTGTCCATCGTTAATGTCCCAGCACTGGTATAAAGTAGGCACTCAATAATTGCTTATTGGATGGCTGGCTGGATCAATGGGGACCCAGCCTATGGCTACACCAGCTCCACCTCTGTGGGTGTCTGTTCCTGCACCCCCAGGTATTCTCCGAATACTTCAAGGAGCTGGAGGAGGAGAGCATCAGGGACAACTTTGTCATTGTCTACGAGCTGCTGGATGAGCTCATGGACTTTGGCTTCCCCCAGACCACTGACAGCAAGATTCTGCAGGAGTGAGTGTGCTGTGGGAGCAGCCACAGGGCAGGTCATGGTGGCACGAAGTTGAGGAGGGCCAGGAGGTGTCCCCGGGCCCCCCTCTTCATGCTCCCTGCCGTCCTGCCAGGTACATCACACAGCAGGGCAACAAGCTGGAGACGGGCAAGTCACGGGTGCCGCCCACTGTCACCAATGCTGTGTCCTGGCGCTCCGAGGGCATCAAGTACAAGAAGAATGAGGTCTTCATCGACGTCATAGAGTCTGTCAACCTGCTGGTGAGCCCCCACAGCCCCACCCGCCCCTGCCACGGTTGGGGACAGGAGAGGGGGCCCCTGCCCGCTGACCCTCATGCCCATGTGTGCATCCCCAGGTCAATGCCAATGGCAGTGTCCTGCTGAGCGAGATCGTGGGCACCATCAAGCTCAAGGTGTTTCTGTCGGGAATGCCAGAGCTGCGACTCGGCCTCAACGATCGCGTGCTCTTTGAGCTCACTGGCCGTAGGTGTCTGGAGCAGGGGGTTCATGGAGGAGATGGAGACCCCTCTGCATCTGGGGCCCCAGAGAATTGCAGTCAGTTCTGAAATCAGCACTCGAGCACCCTCTGCTGGTCATGGCCAGCACTACAGCTGCTGGTTCTTTGCTCAAACGCTTCTTTATTAAGTGCTGGGTGCAAGGACAGGGCAGTGACGAAAAAGACAAATCCTGGCCCTCACAGAGCTGACATTCTGGGCTATACAAGGAGACAGACTAGCATTGCATTTAAAAGCCTGACAGTGAGACTCAGATTCCCTGGGTTCGGATCCTAGCTCTGCCCCTGGGCAGCTGGGTGACTGGGCAAGTTACTTATCCACTCTGGGCCTCAGTTTCCTCATCTGTCAAATGGGGGTGATGATAGCAGTGGGCTATTAAGTTAGGGATAAGGGACCCTGCCCCGGCCCCCAGGGTCATCCTGCATGCTTGGCTCTGAGTTTCAGGAAACAAGAACAAGTCGGTGGAACTGGAGGATGTGAAATTTCACCAGTGTGTGCGACTCTCCCGTTTTGACAATGACCGCACCATTTCCTTTATCCCACCTGATGGCGACTTCGAGCTCATGTCCTACCGCCTCAGCACCCAGGTGAGGCAGGGTCAAGCCCCATGGCAGGGAAGGAGAGTGACCCCAGAACCGCCCAGAGCCCCCCTTCCTTTGTCTGCAGGTCAAGCCACTGATCTGGATTGAGTCTGTCATTGAGAAGTTCTCCCACAGCCGGGTGGAGATCATGGTCAAGGTGGGTTGGAGGAACAGTTACTCACAGTGCTTGATCTGCCCCTCCCGCCTCCTCACCAATCTAATTTCCTCTCCCACCTCCCTCCTGGTTCATTTCCTTCCAGCCACACAGGCCCCTGGCTGGTTCCCAAACCTTCCAGGCTCAGGTCCCTGAACCCCTGCAAGGCCTTTGCACTGGCTGTCCCCTTTCCCTGGATCACTCCGCCCCCACTCACCCAGGTATACCCAGGACTCCTAATCGCATCTCCTTAATCTCTTAAATTGGAGATAGTCTAGGTCAGTGGTTCTCAACCTTCCTAATGCCGTGACCCTTTAATACAGTTCCTCATGTTGTGGTGACCCCCAACCATAAAATTATTTTCGTTGCTACTTCATAACTGTAATTTTGCTACTGTTATGAATCGTCATGTAAATATGTGATATGAAGGATGCATTTTCATTGTTACAAATTGAACATAATTAAAGCATAGTGATTAATCACAAAAACAATATGTAATTATATATGTGTTTTCCGATGGTCTTAGGCAACCCCTGTGAAAGGGTCATTTGACCCCCAAAGGGGTCGTAACCCACAGGTTGAGAACTGCTGGTCTAGGTGCTTAAATGTCATCTCCTCAAAGAGGCCTTCCCTCATGTGCCTATTGAGAATTATACCCACCCCCAACATTTCCCACCTCCCTTCTTTGCTCTATTTTTCTCTTCTATTATCACCATCTATGATCTGTTTTACTTACATATTTACTTTTTAGATAGATAAATAGCATATTTATATGATTTTAAAAATAGTGAACTACCTAGCTTATTTAAATGTACTTGACCTGCCCAGCCGGCATGGTTTAGTGGGTGAGTGTCGACCTATGAACCAGGAGGTCATGGTTTGATCCCCGGTTGGGGCTCGATCCCCGGTGTGGGGTGTTCGGGAGGCAGCCTATCGATGGTACTCTCTCATCATTGATGTTTCTACCTCTCCCTCTCCCTTCTTCTCTGAAATCAATAAAAATATATTTCAACAACGAAAAAATGTATTTGACCAGAGCCTCTGAATCCCCACATGTCCCTCCCCTTGCCCAGAGGTAATTACAATCTTGAATTTTATGTAAATGATTTCTTTGCTTTTCTTCATAATTTCGCTCCCCACATGTGTAGCCACAAATATTTCATTCCTGCCAGCTTCTGACCCTCGTAGCAGTGGACTCAGGCTGTATGATTTTGTGTATAACTTACTTTATTCGTGTAACATCGATTTAAAAATGAATTCCAGGTGTCATAGTTTGTGCATCCATTTCTATAGCTATAGAATATTCCACCGTGGAAATCTATGTCTCCATTCTCTCACATGGGTTGTTTCAGTTCGTGGCTACGCCAGTTCCCATTGCCATAAGCAGCTTTGTGCATGTGTCCCAGTCCCACAGCAGGAACTTCTTCAGAGCTTGTAGCACAGCCCTCTTTCACAGACGGGGAAACAGGTCCTGGGATTATGATGTCACTCATCTAGGGAGGGAGCTCCCCCCACGTTGCACTTGGTCTGCCTGACTCAGGAGTCTGTGTTCTTAGAGTTGCCTTTGTTCCCTGGCCTTGGGGCCTCAGGGGAGCTGGGTTGCACAGTGGAGGGTCACCAGGGAGGGTCTTGATGCTCTTCAGTGTCCCCATCTCTGCAGGAAAGGGAAAGGGGCTGTTAACGCTAGAGCCTTTCATCCCCCCCCTCACCATTTACCTCCAAGTCCTCTGCCCAGATCCCACTTCTCACATATTCTTCCCCAAGTGAATAAATAATAGTAGTAATCATAATGCTAGCTACCACACGGAACACTTAGAGACCTTATGGTGAAAGCTTGTCCTGTCACACAGCTCGAGGTACACATATAGTATAGCTTCTTCATTCATCTGTAAGGAGGACATGTAATGGTTGAGGACACAGGCTCAGTTTGAATCCCCACTATGCCAGTTACCAGCTATGTGACTTGGGCAAAATGCTCTTTCTCTCTGTACCTCAGTCTCTTTTAAAAAATACATATTTTTATTGATTTGCGAGAGAGAGAAACATCAATGATGAGAGAGAATCATTCATTGGCTGCCTCGTGCTCGCCCCCATCCCCCCCTACTGGGGATCGAGCCTGCAACCCGGGCATGTGCCCTTGACCGGAATCAAACCTGGGGCCCTTTAGTCCACAGGACGATGCTCTATCCACTGAGCCAAACCAGCTAGGGCTGTACCTCAGTCTCTTACAAATGGACTTCAGGAATGGATCCTACTTTACGGAATCAGTGAGAGGATTAAGTGCTTGGCACAGGGCCTGGCACATGGCAGGGGCTCAGTAAGTGCCACCTTCAAATGAAAACCCCTCTCCGATGGGCTCATGGAAGTCATTTTGGACCTGGCAGAGGGGTATGACAGTTTCCATATGGAAGGCACTAAGGGTAGGGCCTCTGGGGTCTCATGGGTGTGGACTGTGGTCTGCCACTTGTTGGCTGTGTGTCTCCAGGCAAATGCCTCTCTGCCTCTGTTCTCCTCATCTGCAAATTGGGCAGGACTGGTTTTCACTTCAGGTTGTGGAGGCTCTCGATGAGAAGGCATATGGAAAGGGCTTGGGGAATAGTTGCAGAATCCATGAGCAAATTCTTCCCGCTGCACTCTCCCCCCCGCCCACCAGGCCAAGGGACAGTTTAAGAAGCAGTCGGTGGCCAACGGTGTGGAGATATCTGTGCCGGTGCCCAGTGATGCCGATTCCCCGCGCTTCAAGACCAGCGTGGGCAGTGCCAAGTATGTGCCCGAGAAGAACATCGTGATTTGGAGCATTAAGTCTTTCCCGGTGAGCACTGGGCAAGGGTGGGGCTCTGTAAGGACCCACTCCAACTGCTTGAGGGCCAGGGGGATAACCAATCAGACCCACATCTACCTGCACATGGTTGTCATTGTGGGGGTGGGGGTGGGGAAATAAAGCTAGACATCAGGCTGGCATGGTGGTAAAGCTTCCCTACCAGGTCTGAGGTACCCAGCCTTGGGTTCAGATTCCCACCCCACTCTCTTTTTTTAATATATATTTTTATTGATTTCAGAGAGGAAGCAAGAGGGAGAGAGAGAGAGAAACATCAGTCATGAGAGAATCAACGATTGGCTGCCTCCTGCACGCCCCCTACTGGGAAGTGAGCCTGAAACCCAGACATGTGCCCTGACTGGAATCAATCTGTGACCTCCTGGTTCATAGGTCGATGCTCAACCACTGAGCCACACAGATGGGGCTCCCATCCCACTCTTTTTTTTTTTTTTTTTTAAATTTTTTTAAAAATATATTTTATTGATTTTTTACAGAGAGGAAGGGAGATAGAAACATCGATCAGCTGCCTCCTGCACATCTCCTACTGGGGATGTGCCCGCAACCCAGGTACATGCCCTTGACCGGAATCAAACCTGGGACTTCAGTCCATAGGCCGACGCTCTATCCACTGAGCCAAACCGGTTTCGGCTCCCATCCCACTCTTGCCTCTCTGAGCTGTGTGGCCTTGGGAAGCCCTGTTCCCCACATGGAGCCTCAGTTTTCCCACCTGAAACAGGCAGGATGATGTTACCCACGTCCGTGGGCCCATGGAGGGTTTGGTCTGTCCCTGGAATCGGGGGTAGGGTCGGGGAGGTGGTTCATCAGGGCCTGAAAAGTGGGAGATGGCCCCACCCCACCTTCCAACCGGGCTGAGGCTGTGAGTCTTAGCCAGGAGCCTTTCTTGTCTGTGAAAGGGGCCGAGAGCTGAGACGGCTCCAGGGGCTGTTGTGAGGATGGTCTGTGGTCTTAGGGACCCCTCGGTGTGTCTGATGCCCCCATTGCCTTTAGGGCGGCAAGGAGTACCTGATGCGTGCCCACTTTGGCCTCCCTAGTGTGGAGAAGGAGGAGGAGGAGGGCCGGCCCCCCATTGGGGTCAAGTTTGAGATCCCCTATTTCACCGTCTCCGGGATTCAGGTAAGGGAAGTGGGCAGGGTGGCTCTTCTCTTAGACCTCAGTAGGTTCCCCTATTGAGTCACCTCTCCTCTGTAGCCGACCATGTCTTTTCCCCAGAACATTGTTGCCTCTTCTGCCCTCAGCCTGGGTCTCCTCTCCCTTTTTCTCTCCTTCTCCCTCCCCCCCTCTCTCTGTTCTGTGCCACTCCCCCCGCCCCCCATTGTAACTTCCATCCCTCTCCTACTTACAGGCTGTTCACCGTTCCCTTGGCCTGTGGCACCTCATCTCCCCCAAACCGTGTTGTGTCTCTTCCCTTACACTGTGTCATCTCTTTCTGGACCTCTCTCCTGGACCACCTTCCTTTCCCCCGTCCCACTGTCCATGCCACATGGTTGCCCCAAGCCATGTCACTTAATTACTCCCAGCCTGTGCCCTTCCTCCCCCAACTGGTGTCACATATATTCCCCTGGTTCTAGCAAGCTCTCTCCCCTCAACCTGGGCCCCTTCCGTTCATTTCCTTTCAGGTCCGATACATGAAGATCATCGAGAAAAGCGGTTACCAGGCCCTGCCCTGGGTCCGCTACATCACCCAGAGTGGAGGTAAGGCAGCCGGCTCCCTGGGACAGTGGGGTCAGAGAGATGATGGGGATGGTCTTGGAGTTTAGATGCATTCTCACTCTCACTTCGAGGGCTCCAGAACTCAACAGGCCTATCCTGTCTTTGTCACCGTGCCAACTTGGGCCTTGGTTTGCCCATCTTTAAAATGGGGGCAGTTGTCAGTTCCATCTGCTGCCTGGAAACAGGCTAGTTACTGTGGGTTCATTCCCTGTGTTTGATTCACCCTTGGCCTTGTAACTTCCTGGCAGGGTTGATCCTGAACACTGGGGCTGGGGAAGGATTGGGGAGGCTGTCCGTCTTCGCCATTTGTCCCATTCTGAGATGTCCCTGCTCATTGTTTTCTTGCAGATTATCAACTTCGTACCAGCTAGGAAGGAGAGGAGGTAGGGCCTGGAACACGGGCCTCCCTCTCCCTCGGTCCTGATTGCGGACTTTAGAGGGAGGGAAGGAAGGTGGGGAAGGTGTGAGCAGGCCTCTATTGGCTTAGCAGTTTCCTGCTTCCTGCTCCCAGCACCTGGCCCCCTCCCAGACTTGTCCTCTACCCATAGGCTGGGAGGGATGGCCTCCCAGCTTCCCTCTTCCACTTCCACTTTTATATGAAGAAAGAGAGGAGGGGCCTGGAAGCCCATTCAGGAGTGCCTTCACCAGTGACCTGCCTTAGGGGGTGTTGGTGCCCCTCCTTCTTCACAGCTGCTCATTTGAGGATGGCATTAAAAACATCAACTCAGCTGCTGTGCATGTGCTTCTTGGCTGGGGACTGGGGGTGCCAGGGACGTCCTTGATTTGCTGGGATGGGAGTGGGTAGCACAGATCCATTCTTCAGCCCTGGTCACAGCTCCTCTGGGCCAGTCCCCTGGCTGGGGACTTTCCTCCCCGCCCCCCCCCCCCAAAGTCAGTTCCCCCCGCAGCCGCCAGAGGGCGCGGTTAACGTCCAAGTCAGCGCCTGGCTCCTCCGCTCAGAACCCTCGCGTGCTTCCCTCCTCGATCTGTGCCACCCATCCCGCCACCTGCGTGCCCTCACCTCCCCCTCCGTACCCGGCTCTTCCTGGACACACCAGGCGCACTCCCACCTCAGGGCCTTCGCATTTGTAGTGCCCTGGACCTGGCATGCTTTTCCTGGGTATCCACACACGCTCCTTACCGTAACTTCCGGTCTCAAATCAATGTCACCAATTCAGGGTGACCCCTGTTTCAACAGGCTCCTTTCCAAATAGACTCTTACTTATCCCGTTGTATCAACTCCCTTAGCGTTTACCACTCAGAAAATATGTAATTACTGTTCCCTCCTGCCCTGAACTGTAGCTCGCTCTCCAGTTGGGCGCCCACCACACAGTAGGTGTTCAGTAAAAAATTAAAATTTCCCCCCAGTATATGTTTGAATGGAGGTCTCTGCCAGGTCCAGCCACGTGGCAGTTGCGGCGTGAACGTTCCTTCGCGTCCCTTGCACTTGCTGTGCTCGGGCTGGTTCAATCTGAGCCAGAAAGAGATTTCCTCCTCATTCGCTCGTTTTATTTTCTCCACGGTGCCTCACGCTGTCTTAACTTATGTAGGTGCTTGAAGGTGCGATGGGAAAGGTTCCTGCACAAGGTGGGTGGATGAAGGAGACAAAACGCTCCGCTCCCTGTGAAGGACGAATAAATGCTTATCGTGCAGCATTTATGGTGGAACCGCGGGCGCAGCAGCCCCAGCGGAGGCGCTGGGTTCCTGGAGCCGCCCGCGTTCCCCTAGCCTTGAACTTTCTCTCCCCGGTCAGTTAAACCGGCTCTGCCTCCCGCGCGCCAGGCGCATTTGAAAAACCGAAAACCCCGCCATTGCCGGCGGTCCGCCAATCGCCACGGTTCGGCCAATCAGGAGCGGCACCGCCCACGCCAGCGCTCAAACCCTCCCCGGCAACGCGTAGCTATTGGCTGCGCTGGGCGCGTGGGCGGGGCGTCGCAGGGTCGGGCGCCGGGCGGCGCGGCGGGGCTACTTTGTAGCGAGCGAGTTCGTAAGAAAACAAATCGGCCGCGTCCGGGGGCGGAGCTCAGCGCGCAGCCTCGGTCCCGGGCGGACAGCTCCGCAGCTGCGTCGCGGCGTCTGCTCAGAAGAGACTCCGCCCGCAGAGGAGGAGGGAGGGTGAGTGGGGCGGAGACCGGGCCCCCTGCGGGCCGCGGAGGGTTGGGCCTGCTTCCCAGCCCCTCGCGACCTGCCGGCTGACAGCGGGGAGGAGCCGGCCGGGGGTGGGGGCGGTGGGGGTCGCGGCGGAGCCCCGGACTGGCGAGCCGGGCCGGGAGCCCGGCGCCGGCTGGCAGCTCCGCGGGGGGGCGGTGGGGGCCAGCACCGGTGGCTGCCCCCGCCCTGACCGTGCCGGGTGGGTCGGGGGGCTTCCCAGGCCGGTGTCGCCATGCTGCTGGAGGAGGTCCGCGCCGGCGACCGGCTGAGCGGGGCCGCGGCCCGAGGCGACGTGCGGGAGGTGCGCCGCCTTCTGCACCGCGAGCTGGTGCACCCCGACGCCCTGAACCGCTTCGGCAAGACGGCGCTGCAGGTGAGGCCGGCCGGCCTGGCAGC